TAATAACCATGGATACATATAATTAGCAACATAAGTAGGAAATATTTGTTACATAGACTAAATAAACAAGATAAAACCATTTTTTAAAATTTGTTTTCTCATTTTGGTGTTCTAGCCGTATCATACATTCTCTGTTTTGTGCACAGCCTATTTGTCAATACTTATATGAATATGAGCCTTCATTTTCTACCCAAACCATTGACTTAGTCAAAGGCCAATTTAATCATAAATCATGAGAGGAGGGTATTAGTAATGATGCTCCTCATATATATAATTTGCAAAAGATATAAGAGAAAAAAGGTAAAAGAAGAACAAGTACAACTTAAAGTAGTATTATTATGTGCTCCAGATTCTGGTATAAGTCTTATATTTATTACCTCTTCTAGACCAATGTTGGTATAAAAATCTAGAGTAACCATTTAGGTTTCTTTACGACAATTTGGTCCTGCTATAGCATTTTGATTTTATGTAACAATATTACTAGTCCACAATTACTTCAAAATAAAACAAAGCCAAAAAAAAAGTAGCAAACAAAATTGATCTTTGATCTCATTTGAGAAGCATTGAGAGTTTGATTTAAAGTAAGAGATGATATATGTAGTAAAAGCATTAGGTAAGATGTCTGGTCCATAGAAAATGATCTATGGATCCAACACAATACCAATCAGAATTCTAGAAAGTTACTTTTTTTATATGAATAAACTAATTTTAAAGTTTGCACAGAAAAGAAAAAGAGCCAGAATAGCTAACACAACATTGAAAGAGATGAAAAAAAGTCCTTTTAAGTCTTTTGGGTATAGATCTAGGAGAGGGATAAAGAAAGAAATCAAAGAAGACCTTAGAAGATGGAAAGACCTTGCTCTTGAATAGGCAGAATTAATATTATCAAAATAGTACTTGAATTGGTACTCTAAATTTATAGATATTAAGATAATGTTATACAGGCAAAAGAACAAAATTCAGTGGAACAGAAAAGACAAGAAATAAATCACACAAATACATTGTCAGGTCTTTGACTAAGGAAGAAAGGCAAAAGAATAGAGAATGAATAATTTTGCTAGAATTTGATAGCTACATGCAAAAATATGAATCTAGGAACTGATCTTAAATCTTTCAATAAGTAACTTAAAATGGATCACAGACATACATGTAAAATATAGAAATTTAAAACTTCTAGAAGATAACACAGGAGAAAATCTATGTGTCCTTGGATTTGGCATTAAGTTTTCAAGTGCATAAGAGAAAGCATGATCCATGAAACAAGTGACTGAGAAGTTGAACGTCATTAAAAATGAAAAGTTTTTTTAATTGATTTTTTATATATGACAGCAGAATGCATTATAATTCATATTACACATATAGAGCACATTTTTTCATAACTCTGGTTGTATATAAAGTATATTCACACCAATTCGTGTCCTCATACATGTCCTTTGGATAATGATGTTCATCATATTCCACTGTCATTTCTAACACCCTGCGCCCTTCCCTTCCCCTCCCACCCCTCTTCCCTATCTAGAGTTTGTCTATTCCTCCCATGCTCCCCCTCCCTACCCCACTATAAATCAGACTGCTTATGTCAGAGAAAACATTAGGCATTTGTTTTTGGGGGATTGGCTAACTTTACTTAGCATTGTCTTCTCCAACTGCATCCATTTACCTGCAAATACCATGATTTTATTCTCTTTTATTGCTGAGTAATATTCCAGGTGTATATATGCCACATTTATTTTAACCATTCATCTACTGAAGGGTATCTAGGTTGTTTCCACAGTTTAGCTATTGTGAATTGTGCTGCTATAAACGTTGATGTGACTGTGTCCCTGTAGTATGCTATTTTTAAGTCCTTTGGGTATAGATCTAGGAGAGGGATTAAAGAAAGAAATCAAAGAAGACCTTAGAAGATGGAAAGACCTTGCTCTTGAATAGGCAGAATTAATATTATCAAAATGACCATACTACCAAAAGCACTATTCAGATTTAATGCAATTCTGATCAAAATCCCAATGGCATTCCTCATAGAAATAGAAAAAGCTATCATGAAATTCATCTGGAAAAATAAGAGAATAGCTAAAGCAATCTTTAGCTGGAAGAGTGAAGCAGATGGCATTGCTATACCAGACTTTAAACAATACTATAGAGCAATAGTAACAAAAACAGAATGGTACTGGCACCAAAACAGACTGGTAGACCAATGGTACAGAATAGAGGACACAGAGACTAACCCACAAAATTACAATTATCTTATATTAGACAAAGGCACCGAAAACATACATTGGATAAAAGATAGCCTCTTCAAAAAATGGTGCTGGGAAAACTGAAAATCCATATTCAATCAAATGAAATTAAACCTCTTTCTCTCACCATGCACAAAACTCAACTCAAAGTGGGTCAAGGACCTAGGAATTAAACCAGAGACCCTCTGTCTAATAGAAGAAAAACTAACCGTGTCTGATTAGGCCCCAACTTCCTTAATAAGACTCCTATAGCACAAGAATTAAAATCAAGTATCAATAAATGAGATGAATTCAAACTGAAAAGTTTCTTCTCAGCAAAAGAAATAATCTGTGAGGTGAACAGAGGGGTTATATCTTGGGAGCAAATTTTTACCCCTCATACATCAGATGGAGCACTAATCTCCAGGGTATATAAAGAACTCCAAAAAATAAACATCAAAACAACAAATAAGCCAATCAATAAATTGGCCAAGGACCTGAAGAGACACTTCTCAGAAGAGGTATACAATCAGTCACAAATATATTAAAAACATGTTCATCACCTCTAGCAATTAGAGAAATGCAAATCAAAACTACTCTAAGATTTCATCTTACTTCTGTCAGAATGACAGCTATTATGAAGACAAACAACAATAAGTGTTGGCAAGGATGTGGGGGAAAAGGCACACTGATACTTTGCTGGTGGGACTGCAAATTGGTGCAGTCAATATGTAAATCAGTATGGAGATTCCTTGGAAAACTGGGAATGGAACCATCATTTGAAAAGAAAAGTTTTGCTCAAGGAAAATAATGTTAAAAGAAGGAAAATAAAATTATGTTATAGACTGTGAGAAATATTTGCAGAACATGAAACTGATAAAAAAATGATATCCAAAATATACTAAAAAACTGTTAAAATTCAAGACCAAGAAAATATATAACCCAACTAAAAAAATGGCTAAAACATTGGAAAGGGTACCTCATCACCAAAGAAATTATACAGTTGAAAGAAAAGCATATGAAAATATGGTCAACATCCCATAACCAGGGAGTTGAAAATTAAAACAATAATAGGATACCTCTATATAGATATGAAAATGTCCAAAATCAAACATGGAAAAAAAAACAAAGTAAAAATTTGTGCAGCAGAAACTTTCATTTGTTGCTGTCCACTAATGCAGAATGATTCATTTAACTTATTTATAAGACAACTTGTCAATTTACTATAAAGCTAAATGCAGTCTTGCAACATAATCCAGCAAAATAAATCTCAGGTATTTGTCTACATGATTTGAAAAAACAACCATGCAAAAACCTGTATATAAATGTTTATAGCAGCTTCATTTGAAATGGTAAAAACAATGGAAGCAACCAAGATGTCTTTCCATATATGAATTAATAAACTAACTCTGGTACACCCATAAAATGGAATTCTTTTTCAGTTATAAAAAGAACTGGATTATCAAACCATGAAGAATATAAAGAAACTGTAAATGCACATTTTTAAGTGACAGAGGCTTGTCTGGAAAAGCTACATGCTGTATGATATCTATTATATGACAATCTGGAAAAAGGCAAAACTACAGAAAAAATAAAGATCAGTGGTTGCCAAAGGTTTAAGGGAAGGAATCAGGGGATTTCTAAGGCAGAGAAACTATTGCAAGTGAAATCGTGATGGTGAATGCAAGATATTTCGTGCATTTGTCAAAATCCCTAGAATTGTACAATATAAAGAATGAATCCTGATATAAACTATAGGCTTTAGCTAACAGTAAGGATAGTAGCTCATCAATCATAACAAATAAATCACAGCAAAACAAGACTTCAATAATAGGGAAATTTGTGAGAGGAAGAGAAGAAATATATGGGAACTCTCTGCTCAAATTTTCTATATGCCTAAATGGCCTTAAAAAAAAGAAACTCTTTTAATTAAAAAATGGTGGCACAAGAAAAAATTTCAGGGTGATGGATATGTTCATTATTTTGGTTGTGGAAATGTTTCTTGAGTGTACATATTTCAAAAATATAAAAAATGTAGTCTTTATGTGCAGTTTATCATATGTCAATTACACTTCAATGAAGCTGATAAAAGAAGTGAATGTTTCTGTACAAAATACAAACATGATCCTGATGATTGTCTGTATAAAGCCCCAGGCTTTATAGTAGATTGAAAGAGAAATTGATGAGAAAATGGATTTTTTTTTTGTGCTAAACAAAGGTCTGAAATTGATGGAAAATAATAATTGTCCTTGAATATGTGAAGGATTTTCAAGTAGATGGGTCATGGGTTTTATGCCTAACTACAAGAAATATACTTCAATACCACATTGTAAAACTCATAGGCACAACAAAACATATTGAGTATTAGACCTTTTAAATCATTGCCAAAGATATGCAAAGATGAAATAAATTGTGACTGGTCTGAAGAGATTCTTGCTATTTCAAATGCTCAATCGTAGGCTAAATAACAATTTGTCGGGAGATATTGTAATTTATTTCATAAATAATGTAATCCAAAAGATTTAAGTGAAGAATAGTCAGCTAACATGGCAAAACAAGAACTAGAATCCAGAACAACATGGTTTCATTTTTTCAAAAATCAGACTCTTCATTAAACCACCTCACCTCCAGGATAAAAGCACAAAGATGATTTAGATAATGAGAGCTTTATAAGAGGAGTTTTAAGGTACCTTCCCAGAAATCACAAATTTCTTAAAGGAACAGGGGGAAAATAAAATTTACAGTGAATATTACATGAGTTAAAGATGAGGATGTCAATAGCATCTAAGTATCTGTTAATTTCAGTTTCACTTCTACACTTACTATGAGTCCTGGTTCTGGAATTGGAGCAGGCGTTGCAAACTTCTTTTCTAACTTCTTCTTCTCTTTCCTTAGGCTTTTCATATTCTGAATACGTTTATTTGCAGACTTTAGGAAAATTAAAAGAAAAAATACTGCTTATTATGAATATAAACATGCTGATTCTATTTTTGGAATATCAATATCATTTGTGTCATTACAAATGATAAATCCACACATATGACTTATATAACTAATAGAAGTAGAAAAACCCCTTTCTTTTAAATGTATGGTTCAGAGGTAAACAAAAACATATTGAAGCATCAGCAGAGCTTTCAAAAGAGACTATTCACTCCCAATTCCCACTTCATGCCTGTGCACATTTTTATTAACCCCGATTTAGGATATATGTGTTCAATTGTATTTAAAAAATAATGTTCATTAAAATATCAGAGGGATTTATGTTATAGAAATAAGAAAACAAGGGGCTGCAGTTGTGGCTCAGTGGTAGAGTGCTCACCTAGCATATGCAAGGCCCTGGATTTGATCCTCAGCACCACATAAAAATAAAAATAAATAAATAAAAGTGTTGTGTACAATTATGACTAAATATATATTATATATATATCATATATATGCATACACATATATATGTACGCATATATATGTGTATATATGTATGCTATATATGTGTATATTTCTTAATATATATGATATATGTATATGTGTACATATGTATGCATATATATGTGTATATTTCTTGATATATGATATATATATTAAGAAATAAGTAAACAAGTACACTCTTTATTCCTCTTAAATACTGCATTTCACATGGCTTTTTTATGTCACCATTGTAGGTCATCTCTAAGTAGCAGAGACATAGACATAGGGCATTAAACTGGAATGTTTTTTTTTTTTTAAAGAGAGAGAGAGAGAGAATTTTAATATTTATTGTTTAGTTTTCGGCGGACACAACATCTTTATTTGTATGTGGTGCTGAGGATCGAACCCGGGCCGCACGCATGCCAGGCGAGCGCGCTACCGCTTGAGCCACATCCCCAGCCCCTAAACTGGAATGTTTTGAAGATAAATTAAACATAGTATTAGATCATGAGGAAATGAGAACTTGTGTAACCACAGCCAGTGGGATTGTGAATTAGTATAATTTCTTTGTAACCAATGTGCCATTATTTTAAAACAATGACAGATTTCCTTTCCGTATCATCCAGCCATTTCAACCCTGCATTAAATAAGCAAGTGAATGAAGTTTTTGTCCAAAGGAAAAAAGACATGCACTCAAATGTTCACAGTAGTACTGTCCATTATAGGAGCTGGCTCTTTAACATCCAGGAGGAGATGCCTCACAAGAGGAAGAAAGTTGTGATATTTTCTTATATGAAATTTTAAACAACTGAAATGAAAGGCATGATGGCTACATACTGCAATATAGACTTACCTTAGGGCACAATGTGGAGAAGAGACTCAGACATTGAATTTTATTTGACTCTGTATTTACAAAATTTAAAACCAAGAAGAAGCAACACTACACACATGGGACAGATTGTTAAAAGGAAGAAATAGATAAGAATAAAATTCAAGACAGAGATGCAGCTGAGCAATATAGGGAGGCAGTTCCTAGAGAGACACAAGGATAATTACACCATAAGTTAAAGGTATGTTTTATTAATCTATTTTATCAATTATATATGCTACCTACCTTTGACCTATGTATCAAACGTTACATTAAAAATTACACTATAAGCCATTTAGATTACCCTAGTTGAAACCCTTTCAATAATAGTCTAAAGATTGCAGAGTCTGAAGAAAGGTATTGCCTTAGCGTCTAGTTAATACAAATCCTACTATGTTACGGATCACCCCACATAAAGGATTAAGCTAAAAGCAGCATTGAAACAACCATAATTTTAATTTATGTAATCATTACCTGCCTGGCAGTGACATCTGAAGGGTGATGCTTTCTTGGTCCTTCCTGTATAATATGTAAAATTAAAACACACAGAAGCACCCAAAAGTCAGGAAAAAGCAGAGAAATCAGTTATCACAACAGGAAGCCTCTGCCACTAGGTTTTATTTATGTAGTATATGAATATTACCTCCACCGCAAGGGGCAAAAGAATAAAAACAATCTAAGGTAAAAATAAGAGTAGGGAGGATGGAGGTGGTATTATGAGAAAAAGAACCAGCTAGGAACTATATCACAGGGCACAGGTAGAGTGCTGAGATTTATTTTGGAGGAGAAACATTTTCAAAAATCATGTTTCTGCTGCTATCCGATTTCAGTGGTGCCACACTGCTCTTGGCTGAGGATTCTAAAGCCAGGCAAAGCTAGGGTGATTGAAGTGGTGCCACCTAGGGAGCTCGCTGTTGGTTTCTGAAGTTGCCCCTCCTCCCGCTAATTTCTGAATCCTCCCTTAAAAACCCCTCCCACTTTGATCCAATTTTTAAACCAGAAGTTCCCAAAGTAATCTACTCTGCATTTCAATACTGAGACCTTCATTTAGGGCCTGTTTCTGTCATTCCCACCCCACCTCCCAGGGCGAGTCAGTGGCTCAGTCAGCAGTCCATGGAACTGGGCTGACCCCTAGCATGGGCTAGGTGGTGCTTCTCCGCTTCCTTCCAGGTGGGGCCAACAAACCTGGATTTAGTTTATCTTTCACCCCCTTTTCCAATGTCTAATCAAGTGTGAGGGCTGGAAGCGCCAATGGTCCCGGTAGACCCCGGCTTGCATGGTGGCCAAAGGGGCTCAAGGGCTTCAAAAGACTCACAGGGAAGACTTGGGCAGGATCATCTTCCGTACCACGCAGACACATGTTACAGAGCATAGGGCACCTGGGTGTCCAGTACCTAACCCGACCCTAGAAAATGTAGGTCTCTTGGCCCTCAAGACCAGCCCCACCTGGTTCCATCACAATTCTCTTTATTGTGGCCATGTTAGCCCCGCCCTTTCCCTCTGTCCCAATGCCAGGAAGGCAAGGCCCCTTGATGTCCATGGAGTGTCTCAGAAGGATGAATGCCGGCTTACTGTAATTCTTTATATTCTAGCTCCCCTGCTCAGAAAATCACACAATGCCAGTTTGTCATCTTTTCTAGTCCTCTCATGTTTCTTCTCTGTTGCGCCTCCTTCCTTTCCTAAGATGTCTGGCTTAGATTCCTTTATTACTTCAATCTATCTGTTAGCTTCTAATTGGACCAACTCAAGTGCCTGCCTTCTTCCTCCCTGCCTGCCTATACCAGGCTGAAGGAGGGGACTTGAAGATGGCTGGCTGCTCTACTTCTCCTTGATCTCCAACAAACTAGGCCCTCAGCACTGTTTACAACTTCTTTCAGGTTGCATCAGCTCTTTCTTTTTTGTGTTCTGCGACATTCTCCTCAAACTGTCTTTCCTCTGTTACATATCTGAAACCAGTCTCTCTCTATCACTTTTAGCAGAAGTAAAAAAAAAAAAAAAAAAAAAAAAAAAAACCAACAATCTGACAATGGACCACATAGAGCTTATTATGCTCATCAATGTTGGATAAATTTATACATATTAACTAATCAGTTCCCTAGATAAGCCAAGGGGATAATTGTATGATTATCACCTGAGAAATGAACCACTGGCATGTTTAGTAAGTAGGGCCAAGGTTATCTGCTTAGCAAGAAGGTGAGCTAGGATTTAAATCCAGAAACTTCCTCCAAAGCATTCACTCTGAATCACACACAGTACTATGCTAGCAACTGCTTCTAAATCCCAGAATGGACCTACTTCAATTCCTTCAATTCCCCTCCTCTTGTCTCAAATCCCTCCATTTAAGTTCTCATGTCATTTCCCTCCCAGGAGTTTCCTTCAAAGCTCTCACTGTTCCTTCTTCTTATTAGCCTCTCTTTTTTGGCCTGTTTCTAAACATTTAAATACTTTCTGCTCAAAGTTCTTCTTTAAACTGATAAAAGAAAACACTTTGAACAGCAGTTAATTGCATCTGTTGCTCATGCCTTCTGTTCAAAGAAAATATTCATGGGAATTGCCTGTACCTCCTATCTCCTCTTCTTTAGCTTAATAATATGTGACTCTCTGCAACCTATTTTAACTCTCAATATTCTGCTGGAATTTCTCTCAAAAAGATCATTAAGAATCTTTCTGCTGAATTCAATGGATGATTCTTACCATATGTCTTTTGCACAGTGTTAGATATTGCTGAGAATTTTCTTGGATGATTCAGGCTTAGAAAAATTAAATAATCTTGCCTGAGTACAGTGTTTGACCACTCCCTTTATGAAACTCCCCTGTGTGGGAGCAGTAAGGCTAGAAAAATTTTATAACCTGGCCAATGTTCACAAATCAGAAATTGGTCTTAAAATTTTTCTAACATATCACATTGTCTGAAGAATGTATGTTTCAGATGATTACTATTGCATAACTTGCTAGATCTATGAATGTAAAATGAATCAAATTATTTCACAATAATTTAAACAACTTAGGTAAACCAGTGCAATGTGATCCTCAATAATGACACGTCTTGCAGACATTTAGAAGCTGCTAGTTCTTTCTGAAGATGAGTCCAAGAAGTCTTGATAGTGGAGTGGTCAGTTTGCCCTGCAGACTATGAAAGAACATTGTTGGCACAAGAAGCAGCATACCCAGATGACAGGGAGTATGGTTCAGAATCATGGGTTTGTTGAATAGGTAACCACTGCTCATCACTTTACCCTCATCACTTCTCATTGCCTTTCTTCCTCCCTCCCTTTCTTTGTATAAAAAAAAAAGAAAGAAAGAAAAAGAAAGAAAGAAAGAAACTAAGTTGGCTCAACTGAAATAAAACAATGTTTAGTTGGAATCTGGCACCTGCAGTCAGCCATAAGATAATATTTCAGAATCATGTCTCAAACTCATTAGGTATCATGCAGTGGCCCCCACAAAAGTCCGAGTCCCATCTCAACCACTTGAAAACTTTAGTGAACCTGACCAATTAATTATCTTGCATGAGTTCCAAATACTTTTTCCACAGTGGAAATGTTAAAATTTAATAACATAGGGCTGTTAATAATAATAATAACCTATGTTGTTAAAAACAATAGAGATAATGTAAGTAAGGAGTTGGATCTAGTTCCTGCTTGCAACAGTTATTCAATAATAATAGTTGTAATTATATTTTACTGTCATTACATTATAAAATCTCTGGAATGGAAAGGACTTCATGTATCATCCACCCTGATATTCCACTTGAAACTTTGGATTCTCTCAGCAAAATTTTAACTTAATGGCTGTCCAGTTTATGTTCTTCTACTTAATCAATGGATAGGAAATTCGCTCCAGCCTGTTCAATTTTTCGACACTTCTGATTAATGAAACCTACTAAGCCATATTGATATAAAATATGCTATTCTGTTACTTCCATCCACTAGTACTAATTATATCCTCAAAGTTCTCTCAAGTAAACTCATCCTCTCCTACATGATGCTAAGCCTGGAGGAAGAAGCTAGTATTATCATGATATAGATGTTTGGAGGCAGAGCCTCATAAGTTAGGAATCAGACCACTAACATACCAAGCTGAGCTGGTGAAGCTTGGGGAAATCTTTCAGAACTGAGAGGCTTCTTACAAGGGGAAACTATCTGGCATGTGCAGGCATGATAGGAGGAGCAATAAAACCAATTCTGGTAGTGTGGAAAGTTCTTGGAAACTGGAAACAACTGTTGCTGGAGACACTTGCTACCACCAGGCAAAGTGTTATTGCTGGGGTACTACACTAGGGGTGGGGGAAAAGGATCGATCAAGATCCTCTTGCCTCCACCTGTCTTCTAAGCTCCCTACAGTGCCCTTTATTGGATTACTTTACCAGGACTTCAGCTCACTAAATTTTCAGCTCTTACTTTTCTGAAGAGAAATAAGCTATGCATAGCCTGAGCCATGGATTTACAAAGACTATAGAAAAATAGACTTAGAGATAAAAGACAACACCTTAATTGTCATACCAACCAACCATCATGCCCTAAGCTACATGCATTCTTTCACAAATTTTGGAAAATCGTTTCAAGTCTCCCCTATTCAAGTTGATATGCTTTACCTCACTATAGTTTACCAGTTTCCTGAGCCTGGAGATCTCAAAATTGTGCACTGACCATTTTTAGATATAAAATGTGGTTTATGATTCTGTTTCTCTCAACACCTCTTCTGTGTCTGTATAATCTCTGTCTATGCTTCCTTATTATAAAGAAAGTTGTAATGGCATTCAGGCCCATCAAGATAACCCAAATAATCACCTCATCTTAAAATCCTTAACTTTTAATCACATCTGCAAAGAGCTCTTTTCCAAATAAGGTAAAAATAAGCACCATGGATTAGGATGTGAACATACATTTGGAAATCATCATTCAGTTATCTGAAAACTGCCTTTTAAAACTGAATTACATAAAAGAAGGGCATCAATAATTTTCTTCCTTATGATTATGATGAATCTATAATCTAGACATGGATAGGGACCAATTTCACGTATTTCCCCTTACTCCATGAGAACCCACTTGTTCTTCCCACCACTTGGAAGTGAACCTGCTTACCTATGTGGTTTAGTTTGGGCCACACTTAATGTGTCTCTTGGTCATTGAGTCATTGCAAGGAAAACATTAATCAGTTGCCATAGTTAGAATGCTAGGAGTAACAAAACATATCCTTTACCATTTTACATTTGACAATTTCTTTATTTGCATTTAATTGTATGTCTGTTTTATTGGATGTTATAATTTGGATGTGAGGTGTCTCTGTGAATATCAATGTGAGACAATGCAAGAAGTATTATAGAAGAAATTATTAGGTTATGAAAGCCTTAACCCAATTAATGAATTAATCACCTGATGAGATTAATTGGTAACTGAAGGCAGGTGCAGCTGGAGGAGGTAGGGCATTGGGAGTGTGGCTTTGGGTATATATTTGTATCTGGCAAGTGGAGATCTCTCTCTGCCTCCTGATTATCATTGTAGATACTTCCCTCACACACTCATCTGCCATGATGAAGTCTCAGAAAGAAGGCAGAAGCCTCACCTCAAGCACCAAGGAATGGAGCCGGCTGTCTATGGACTGAGACCTCTGAAACTGTAAGCCCCCAAGTAAACTCTTCCTCCTTTACAATTGTTTTGGTTGGTTTTTCAGTCTCAGCAGTGAAAAAGCTGACTAAAACAGTGGGACTTTTTACAAATCATGTCAGAGCTTCTGGTTTCTGAGTTTCTTGACCATGGGATAAATTGGGTCCTTAATCAATGCTGGATTCAAGCAGAGCTGGCAGAGGTGAACTTCTGGGCTAGTGATGCTGCCACATAAATCTTGATGAATAAGAATTAAGGTCATAAGACTGCTACCACAAAGGACAAAGCAGAACAAGCCATTCAAGATAGATAAAAATTGGCCTGGACTAGAAAGATATCACAAGGCACAGGAAATCATAGTAGGCATGGACCTCATCTTAAGTCACCTTTGAATTGATGCATGTGTTATGAACATAGCAAAGAGGGAAGTCAGAGAGTGAGTTCACAAGAAATGGCTTTATAGCATGGAGGAACTACTTAAGGGACCATCTTTGCATTAGCCTGGAGTAGCAAGAGACCTATGAGTGAAAGGTGGAATTTAAAAAGTTAAGGAGAAAAAAAAGGGAAAATAACTATGGAGAAAGACAGACTTGAGAAATGAGATTAGAAAAAGTGAGGCAAATCACCTTGCAGCCCTACAGACCAGTGGTGATTATCGCTCTTCTCACTCCTCTGCTTCCTTCACTCAGCTCTTCAGCTGCTTGAGCTATAGGAGCTAATATGCCACCATCAACCCATCCATTTAAAATTGTCCTTTGCTGTTTGAAACTTGCTCTGCACCTTCAGTCTTCTTACCTTTGCTGACCTCTGCACGTATCAGGTCGTTTTTAATATAAGGTCAACACTTTCCTCAAAATGATTCTACAGAAAAGACTGAGTTGGCCTATATCAGATCCCTTATGATGCCTCTATTTCCAAGACCTTCCTCTATTACTTTGTATTAAGAAACAAAGTTTTTCAGGAAGACACATTAATTGTAAATGACATTAAGGAATGCTTGCTTTGAAAACTTGCTGGGTCACATTAGGTGAATCAGTAAAGGCACAAGGTAAAGAAGTTTAACAGTTATCTCTTGGGATACATCACTCCTGGGATACATGAAAGACATTATAAAGAAGTCTTTTAAAGCTTACCTTAAAATCAATAAAATAAAGAAATAGCTACATTTAGGAGATTCTGGATATACACACAAAGAATAAGTAAAAAACAAACAACTCTTCTAATGTCATGTGAATGTGTACTTAGCCTTTAGATAAATTTCCAATAATGTGTTACATTGTTCAATTAGAATTTAAAAGGTTGGAATCCAAGGCACTGAGATGGGACTGAAAGTATGTGCCTTTGAAAATTACTATACAACAAAATTAAGTGGCTCTAGTGATTAATAAGACAGTGATGCTGAAAGTGTATATGAAGAGGTTGCATAAGAATATGTCCCATACTTGTATAAATATATCAAAATGTATTCTACTGTCATGTATAACTAAAAGAACAGATAAAAGTAAATAAAAGCCAAAAAAGTATTCAGTGAAATGTGAGCATGGAAATAAGTAATGTTTCTAAACTAATATAATCATTATAAATTGTAGGCATTTGTTGATTCCCTAACCACAGATAAAAGTATTCAGAAAAAAGTGTCTTTGCAAAATATGTATAGACTCTTTGTCATTATTGCCTAAATAATATGTCTAACACTTTTTATATATTGTTTACATTTTATTAGGCATTATAAGTAATTCAGAGTTCAAACACAAATACTACATCTGGGACATGAATATCTGTGGATTTTGGCATCTGTAATTGTCATGCAATTCTCCCTGGATATGGAGGGCTAGTTGCAATGTGTTTTTAAATATGGTTGTATAAGATTTACACAAGATAAGGGTCTAATTCTTTTTCTTTTTCTTTTTTTGCTGTACCAAGGATTTAGGGATGCTCAACCACTTAGCTACAACCCCAGGTGTTTTAGTTTTTTATTTTGAGATAGGATCTTGTTAAGTTACTGAGCTGCTTTCTGTCTGTCTTAGCCTCCCTGCCTGGTTGCTGGAATTACAGGCATAAACTATCACACTTGGCCATCTCTGAAATTTTAATACTCAATTTTATACAAAAATTCTTGAGGATATTTGTTCTTAAAAGATCTCTTTCTCTCAATTGAAATATTTTAACTTCCTATCAATCCTATTTTCAATTTGAAATGTTTGAAAAGGCCTGGGAACACAATGGCTTATTAGAAAGAACCTAGTCTATTAGCTAACCAGAGAGGAATGCTTACCCTGACCCACACGCACCCTACAGAATAGTACAAAAACATTCTCTCTTGTCTTCTGTTCTCTTCTGTGACTTACAGTTTATTACACTCATCCTAGAACAACATGTAGGAGCTCATTCTACCAGGTTGCTTAGTTATGTTCTGATTATGGAAGTCAAAGTTATAGAACGAGCTCATTTATCTATTAAGCTTCAATTACAAAAATTAAAAGGGGGGAATAGGTTTATGACTCCCCAAAATAGCCTCAATCATGCTTTGTTCGTTTTAAATTTTTTAAACTGTGACATAGAAGGTCACACTGTGGCTGAGAGACAAATGTCTCCCACAGTAACAGGCCCTTTAGGCAGAGTTTTGTGGAAAGATTTACAGACTGGTCAGTGGAAAGGCCCAGACCCAGTGATTATGTGGGGCAGAGGTCATGCTTGTATTTTTCCAGAAGGTGCTTTTCGTCCTATCTGGGTGCCTGAATGCGCAATCAGACATGGAAGAGATAGAACCGAGATTCAAGCGACTGAAGATCGACTCAGAGAAGCCCCCATTCAAAAGGAAGAGATATCGAAAAAAGACGAAGAGAAACCAGATTGACCCAGCCGAAAAGCTGATTTCATGGGAAGACGTGAAGAAGCTAACAACACAGGCTTCCCGAATAATTCGACTCCTAGGAAAGAACAGGACCCCAGTGATGATGGTAGCAACAGTAATTGCCCTGCTGGGCTGTCAGGTAAAGGGGGATCAAGTAGACACTTACTGGACATATTTCCCAGATCCACCCCTGGTACACCCAGCTGTGTGGACTGGAGAATCTATTCCAGTGTTTACTAATGACTCATTCATGATGGGAGGATTTACAGATACTCATATTACTCCCAATCATGTGACTAGATTTAATTATTCTGGCTACAATGCCCAATTACCTTTGTGTTGGTCCCATGATAAACATGCTGGCTGTCTGAAAGTATCATTTGAGGAAAAGACAGCGATTGGTAGACCTAGACTGACTAATTATTCTATTTATGGAGACTTAAAACCTTATACTAGATCAGTAATTAAGATGGGACTTTCCCATAACAAACCAGTCATTTCTACAAAACCTCCACGGATACCCCACTGTCCAAATAGTTCTACAATTGATATTGGCACCTTTCCTAGATGGATGGATTGTGTAAATACTTTTCCTGTACAACATAAGGTGTCTAAAGATAGTGGGTATATTTTAGACTGCTCTCCAAAAATTGATAAGAGACAATTATGAAAAAATTCTGCTGACACCTACAAGATTTGTTAGTAATATTTTGACTTACAGTGAGGGTGGTATTCAAAAAGATGTTTGGCGCTTAATTGCTGCCTCAGAATTCTACATTTTACAGACAAGCCTTTACCAAAATTTGTTGGCAAGAACTGTAAGGAGGGATCTTGCTATGGCTTACGAGCCTGTGTCCAATCTCCTTATGTTTTAATTATTGGAAATGTAAAAGTTAAATGGATAGATGACAGATATGTTGTCACATGTAACAAATGTAACCTAACCAATTGAATTACTAGGTATAATGGAGGAAAAGGAGTGCTGGTACTTCATCAGCCCTCTTTTGTTTTATTACCTGCTAATATTTCAGAGCCATGGTATGCTGATACTGGTTTACAAGTCTTGAAGCAAATTCATGCCCAGCTAGCAAGACCTAAACGTGCTATTGGAATTATAATTATTGGTGTTTTGGCGTTAGTTTCTTTCATTGCATCCACTGTTTCTGCATCTCTGACATTGTCTCAAAATATTCAACATGCAAAATTTCTTAATAATTTAGCTCAAAATACTTCCAAGGCTCTGCGTAATCAAGTAAATATTAATAAAAGGATTGAGACTAAATTAAACACCTTAGAGGCGACTGTTACAGACATAGGTAATGAACTTTCAGCTTTAAAATTTAAAGAAAGGCTTAAATGCCATGCAAATTATAAATATGTGTGTGTTACAGCTGCCAAGTACAATGCTTCTCTCTGGGATTGGGAGAAGGTTAAAAAACATTTGTTAGGTATTTGACAAAATAATAATAATAGCTTGGATATTTTGGAACTTCATCACCATATCCAAGACATTCAAAATAATAGAGCTGATTTTTCAGATCCTCCTTTTTGGCTAACCAAATATTGAAGGAGTTAAATAGATTTAATCCTAGAAATATTCTTAAACACTCGGCCTGGTACATTATTGGATTGTTCTCTTTGCTGTTAATTCTCTTTTGTGTTGTAATTATAGGATGGCGAGTCTTTGGAACAAGAATGCAGAAACTCGAAAGAGTGAACCATGGCCTGATTTTTAAGAGAAAAAAGGGGGAATATGTGGGAAGCCATTCTCGCACGTGATTGGGCACCTCCCTGATTGGGTGTGAGGCGTTCTGGCTGAACTGTGTCGAACTAATCCCCACCCTGTCCAGTGCGAGAGCCTGTCCGTGTGGGGGTGTGACTGACCATTGACCCTGAGACCAATCACTGACCCTGACCTTGGAATGCTGTCCCCTTCGACCTTCATTGGATGGAATTTTCCCCTGCATTTCTTGTTCCCCAATAAAAGGCCACTCCCTGGTGTGCCCTCTCTCTCTCTCCTGCTAGTCCTGAGTAAGCCTTGCTGCACCACCGGGTGGTTCGAGGCGGGAGCCAGAGGCAGGGCCATCTCAGACCTGGTCAAAGAAAAAGGTAATTGAGTCTTGTGTGTTTATTTTGATCTCACTAGTTAACTTCTATGCTACGAACCTCTTGTATGAAGCCAGCGTGCTGGTCGCGCTGCTGACTTTGGTTTTTGCTAAATAAGATCTTTAAACATAAAATTATGTATGTCTAGGTGGTTCTGAATAGAGCTTCAAGAACACAACACAGATCAACTTTCATAGCAAAATTTAAATGATCCCCTCCCCAACAAGGATTGAAAATGCCCTTCCTACCTCATTTCTACCTGGTGAAATTTTCCAGACATGATGATACTTTCTTATTTATTTCTGGAGAATGATATAAATCTCAAAAATAGCTATTTATGGACTATTTATCTGGATTAGCATTTAACTCCCTACTGGGAAAAACAATCCTGAAATTCAGGACCTAGCAATAATGTTTAGGCAACTATCGAGTGTACCTGGATGCTAAGATATGTAGTACTTCAGATGTATGTTCTGTTATGGTTAGTCATAGCCTCATTACTCTCCATTTTTATCTATGTTCATACTGTAATATGTGAATTTATGGGTCAGAAAGGAAGTATCCCCCTGAAAATCACCCCTGTTAGAGAGGGGATCATTTAAATTTTTCTGTGAACATTGGATCATCACCAGCAAAATAAATCTGTTTTGTGTTGTAATGCTCTATTCAGAAACATTTGAAGACTCTTCTTATTTTTTAGCAGACTTCAGTTAATTTATGTTATTCTTACTGGAAAAAAGCAAAGTAAAGTTTATTTTAAATAAAAAATTAATTTAGAGTTCAGTTTTCATGATGAAGAGAGCTCCTTTGCAATACCTAAAAATTCTTAAAATCTCAAATCATGAGTATGATGGGATGAGAAGGGGGCGAGTATGATAAACCTGTCATTCCATGTAATCATAGGTAACTTTACTCAAGTGTACAGAGACAAAAGATCTTTTCATTCATATATTATCTAATTTTGGTTATTGTGCAATTTATCATATTAAACTGCTATTTCAAGAACATAAATGAAAATATATGATTCAGAATCCAAATAGCACATGAATCTATTGGTCAAGGAAGAAAATGTAATCTTATGAAGATATACTCATCTTTACTGAAAGCACATTTTTTTCTTAAAGACATCTGATTCTGTCTTGTATTGGGTCTATAATTAGTATGATGAAACTATGTTTGCTAGTTAACTTCACTAGAATAAATATGAAATTGCCCTTCTGAGTCCTTAATAATCACAGGAACATTAAATGTTGGATCAGTATTTCCAAGAAAATAGCTTTTAGATAGCAGGAATTGAAAAACAAGTGTGGAAAAGTGTGTCCTTTTATATTGACAGATAAATAACTTCACTCTTTTACAAAGGAGAAAAATGTAAATCTAGTGTTCTTCCTTACAAAGTATTTTTTTCAAGCATCTATTATCTGACAAACACAGATGCCCCAGTACACTGATGCTTTAGCTTGATCACCTTATTTTACAATAACATTGAATTACAGTGTCAAGTTAAATAATATAACCCATGTAAATCCTATTTCTATCTTTTTTGTGTTAGAGCTGACACACCACATGGAATCAGATTATTTTGAAAAGCACTTAAACTTTTTGAACATATACCATAGTTAAGGAACATTTGCTGAACACATGGGTTAATTATTTTCAACAATAAGACAAGTATGGATATCATGATTTTTGATATTTATGTAACACATATAAAAAGGATTCCTAAATCTATAATTTTATTCAAAAATTATAAGCACTGGGAAGAAAGGAAAGCATATGTAAATACTTCAATTTTATAATTGAAAAGTGGAATGAAACTCAGAGTTGTAGGGCTGGGGTCTTCTGGAAAACTAAGGCACCACAATGATCACTCCCCTTCAAACCACAATTCTTGTGATAAAGTCAGAGAGCTTTCAGACAGTCACTTGGAGTTACATGCATAAGTGTATTAGAAGGGCTTAGAAAAGAAAAAGGGGATACTCTCAAGGGAGAAAGTGGGTCCTCTTAAAGAACCAAAGGACAGCATACCCCTCTCTTGTTCTCCAGTTCTATTTGGGATTCCATGGAAGTTTCCAGAGTGTCCCATCCCATTCCACCTCTTGACTTTTGATTGACAGCAAGATGACATCAGCTTTTCAAGTCCCCACTGCCATGACCACTCTAGGTAACTTTGGCCCACGCTGACCAGTTCTAATTGGAACCTATTCTTACAGATTTTGTGGTTAGGGGGATTATCCTATCACCCTGAATGCAGAAACCTGGTCTGTGTAAGAGTCACAAGTCTCCTCCTTTATGATAACTTGTGTTCTTCTTATTGGCATTATTTTGAGCCCACATTTCTTTTGCAGATAATAGGTAGTTTTCTGTGGACTGTAACATATATTTGTCCAGTTGCATACGTTCCTGTCACTGGTGTGGTCAATTAGTTGCTCAGCCACCTCAGTCGTGGGGGGGTAGAGATGCAGAATCAACACACAGACTCTGGAAGCTGGTGAGAACTGGCTGGTGACAAACCTCAAGTGGATATCCAGTAGCTCAATTTATTTTTGGAATGCACACGACTGTTACAGGGTTTGAGTGGGGCATGCCCCTCAATCATACACAAGGAAGATAATATCCATAAGCCAATAATCTTCTGCCTAATGTAACCGCACTGTGAGGAAACTCTAAATATTGCTGTCATGGTGGAAAGCAGTCTGGAAGGGTCTTTGGCCCTTACTGAGTCAGGGGTTTCATGCCCTGAAGCCCCTGACTCTCCATTTCCTGGCCTGGTAGTTTGGCAATGCTAACCACAAGTGCTGAGTATGTGGTTTCACCCCATCCTGCAGGCCCTCCTGTCAGGCCTGAACAAATGTGGATTTTTCAAGCATTTCTGAGATGCTCGTAGCTGCTAGCTGTGACTGAAAGTTATTCCAACATTTCCTCCCCTTTTATTAAATTTGTTGCCAAAGGAGAACCATGGTGACAGAAGAAAGGAAAAGGGAAAAGCATAGAAAAAGGGGGAAAGAACCAAGAAAGAAAAAAGGGGAAATATCCAGACATGGCCCTTGTTTCGTGCTGTGGTGAGCTGGCAGCCACTGCTGACTAGGTCTCTGTCACTTGGGTCCTGATCCGAGCTGGGCGTGGGGAGCAGCCCTGGGGGCAGGAGACCTCTCTCAGAAGGGGTGAAGAATTAGGCCTTTGCATAGATGTGTGTGGGGGGGTGAGGTTCTATGCCTCACCCTCTGTTGGCCTCCGAGTTTTATCCTGATGGCCCCTCTGTGACTGTGCCTGTCTTAGGTTGTTCCTACCTTTTGGAATCATACCCGTCAATGACTAACCAGCCATCCTCGGGGACAAACAGGGTGATGTGAAGTGTGCAAGGCATTGCCCCTGACAAGGCTCTCTGTCTCCTTGATAGATAATGCCCCCATGGCCTCCATGCCAGCATTTACCTTAGGATCGGGAAACTCAGGTTTCTTCTCCGTGCAGGGCCCAGTTCACAGCACTGGGCTGGTGAGGCTACATTCAAGAAGGAAGGAGAAAGGCCATAGACAAACAAACAGTAATATTGTGACAAAGCCGAGAGACACAGATAGATGAAGAGGAGAG